GCTTAGGGTCAAGGGTCCTTAATAATAAGAAGAAAGTTTTGGGGTATATTAGAATAAGGACCTCCCAAAATAGTATTGGCACTTATTCAGGTCCCTATATTAAGGTGTCGTAACCAAGTCAAGAAGCCGAAAATCCAGCGGTCCTCGCGTTCCTTACAAGACTCGTCCGTTCCCCGAAATCCGCCACAACTGGGAGACTTAATCAACCCCGGTTCAGGCTTAGGCGTAGGGTCATGGTGATTTTTCTTGGCTGACTTCTACACCCCTCCTAAAAGATAAACTTTTAGCCTCCTTATTATGGTTCATATATAGAAACCCAAAAAGTTAAAGTCCTAAGAGCCAACCAGAAGAACGCCAAGTTTTTATGTCAAACCATGAGCGCTGTGTGACTCAACCCTTGCGATCGGCAGAGGACGGTTTAGGGTTTAGGGTCGTCGGGCGTCGCAGTGATGGTGACGATACGACGACGTCTGAGTACGTTTGATACGCAACTTTAAATGGCTTCTGCAAGGGGAGACTACAAGTATTCCTAAACCCCTAAAAAAATATCCTGTAGATCCCTATCAACCCCTCAGCGACTTCAAACCCAAAACCCAGTAGAACCCCTGAAGGAGCCGCCATAAGGAGGATGGTACTACCGACCATTTTTTTTTTTGGGGGGGGGGGTGTGTAATAGAGTTAGAAGGCCCTCATTACTTAGGCATACGGTTTATTTAGGGAATTAGGGTTATGTAAGGGTATCAGGGTATCAGGGTATCAGGGTATTCGGGTATTAGGGTATTAGGGTATTAGGGTATAGGTTTAGGGTTTAGGGTTTGGGGTTTAGCGTGTAGTAGGTTTGCACTAAGGAACCCTCAGGAACAATGATAGTGTCTATTCCGGCTTTCATACTTGGATGTTGTTCCACGGGGTGTAGTGATATTTAAGGGGGCGTAGGATTTAGGGTTTAGGGCCTCACCCTAAACCCTAAACCCTAAACCCTAAACCCTAAACCGCCTCAGACGGAAGCAGTAGAACTGGCCGTATCATGAGCTCAGGCTTAGAGTTCTCGGGTTTCGGGTTTAGCAGGGTTTAGGGTTTAGGGTTCAGCATCTCTGGGTTCTTGAGTATGTTAGCCTCCCTAAACCCTGAACCCTAAAATCTCTGGGTTTTTGAGTATGTTAGCCTTAAGAAAGAGAGTTTTACCCTAAGCCCTGATTCCAATCACCATCCCATCTCTACATCTAACTATGATACCTTAACATGAAGTGAGAAAAAGTGGTAGTTTTCTAAATTAGGGTCCCTTTTAGGGTCCTTATTATAAGGCTACTGTACTATATTGGGGACCAGAAATGGATCATACTTTAGAGAACTACCCAAGTGAGAAAAAGCTTATCACCCCAGGCCCGAAACCACCTGCGCCCAAGACTCTAAACCCTACACCCAAGACCCTAAACCCAAAGCCCTAAACCCCTAAACCCTAAAACCCTAAAACCCTAAAGCCCTAAAGCCCTAAACCCCTAAACCCTAAAGCCCAAAACCCTAAAGCTCCAAAACCCTAAACCCTAAACCTCAGAAGTTGTCTGCGCAATGGGCTCCCTGCAAGATCTGGAAGGGAGCTCCCTGCATGCTCCTGTGTTCAGCTTCGGGATCTTCGGTCTCTGAGATGGGTAGTTCTCTAAATTAGGGTCCCTTTTTAAGTCCCCAATATAGTACGGCACCCTTATAAAAAGGACCCTAAAAAGGATCCTAATTTAGAGCACTACCCATATGCCTTTCCATGGGCTCCTTTGCAGGGTTCCTTTTTGGGAGTTGTCTAGGGGTTCTAGAAGGGATTACATATTTTGAGGGGTCCAGGTTATTCCTAAGCCCTACGCCCTAAACCCTATGGGGGCCTCAAGAAATGAAAGGTGGCTTCGGGGCCTCTAATAACATAAGCATATTAAGGAACCCTGATAATTCCTCGTGGTAATTCGGAAGACCTCTCCAGTATGCTTCGGGCTTCAGGGTTGTGAGGTTTAGGGTTTTAGGGTTTAGGGTTTAGGGCTAAGAGCTTGCAAACCCTAGCCCGCAAACCCTAAACCCCTACTCCCTAAAACCTGACTTTGAGAATCGAAACCCTAAAACCTAAACCCTCAAACCTGACTTTAAGGAATCGAAGCCCTAAACCCTGAACCCTAAAACCTGACTTTAAGGAATCGAAACCCTAAACCCTAAAACC